ATATATATGATGATATATATTATATATGTTGTATTATATTCTCAATTGACATTGTTTTCAATCACTATCTTTATGTATGAATATATAATAATATGTGATAGATATATATTGTATTTATATATAGATATATTGCATTGTTTTTCATTGAATATATTGAATTGATTGCATTACTTTGGTTACTGTACGGCGGTAACCATATAGTAACTGGATTACTGTGACCGTACAGTAACTGGGTTACTGTAACCATACAGTAACTGGGTTACTGTAACCATACAGGAACTGGGTTCCCGTACGACAGTAACCGTACAGTAACTGGGTTACGGTATGGCAGTAACCGTACAGTAACTGGGTTACTTACTGCACGGCAGTAACCCTACAGGAACTGGGTTACTGTACGGCAGTAACCATACAGTAAGTGGGTTACTGCATGGCAGTAACCGTACAGCAACTGGGTTACTGTACGGCAGTAACTGTTCCGTAACTGAGTTATTGTACGGAAGTAGTGGTGCAGTAACTGCATAAATGGGCTACTGTACAGCAGGAACCGTACAGTAAAGTTGAGTAAACCAACCATATTAAGCTTGCTACAGGGTATAGCAAACAGCTACCGGAAGCCCATTGCAGTCGTGAGGGAAACCTGCGGCGTGATGCTGTGAACCAGTGATACAGGAGAAGTATAGGGAAGGCCCGGAGGGGGGAGAGACTTCTTGCAACTCCCAGGAGTGGTGCAAGGGAAGGAGAGGAGTGAAGAGGATGAGAAAGTAGAATCGCCACAAGATACAGTCCGGACCCTTGCAAGTAGGCACTGGTGGTTGCCGAGCCGGGCAACGCCATCGACCAAGGAATGACGGAACCGGGTGTGATTGAATGGGCCTCGGGGGCCTGGCCCCTGGACTCTTGGTCCCTAAGGCCCCGCGACCCTCATTTTGGGGGGCCCTTAGGGCCGTGGTTCGGTTCACAGTCCTTGATTCTTTTTCCGACAGGTAGTGTGGAGTTTTTTTTTTGTCCATGTTTTTGTCAGTCCGTTTGTTTTTTTCTTCACTGCCAGACTTCTGTCTGTTCCTGGGTTTGTCTGGTGAGGGATAGTTTTGTCCATGTTTTGGCTGGATCTTGGTTATTCGAGCTTATTCCCAAATTTCCCATACTCTTACAACACACGAACAAGTGTCCTTAACTCTCAAGTATGCGACTTGCTTGGTTTTGCGGTCCAAGTCCGTTGATTTAGGCTCCTTCCCCTCTGCCGGTAGGCGCAAAGTGTGGTACTAGGTACTACGAGCCCTCTGCCGAGTCTGCCCCATTCGAAATGAGATTCTAATTTGTTCACCGTCGGTTCCACCGTATGCTCTCTGGGTTGAATCGACGAGTACGCAGTGCGCTTCTGATGCTGTTGCCAGCTCGTGGCCTGGTGAACCATTCGAACCTCTTTTCGGGACGGACGAATGCAGCACGGATGACCCAGAAAGGACGTGTCCTTTCTGGGCCAGCCCTGCTGCATCAGTAGTTAGGCCTGGACAGACGGTAGGGCCCAGGCTGGCCGTTTCAGACCCAGACAACTATCAGGAATTGATGCTGTATCTAGGACCATTGATCGTCAGTATAATTTTTTTGGAGAGCTCTAGATGCAGGGTGGTAGGTCCAGCGCTATGCAGCTGAGCAGTGCTAGACCAGAGGGACACAAAGTTATAGCTTAAGTGTGGGAAGCAGGCTGGTTGAGACAGGATCAGCGGAGGTAGGATGAGGTGTTAGGTGAGAGTTTAGGTCTGCAGCTGCATTGGGCAGAGGAGCACTTACGTGGGGCGCCATAGCTGAACGACTGTGCGCCGGAAGCGGCCGGGATGCAGTTCAAGGCAATACCTTTCACCGGCCCGTAACACACACACACACACACACACACACACACACACACACCTGTCTCTTATACACATCTAGATGTGTATAAGAGACAGGCCTCCACCATCGCCGCCGTCCCCATCATTTCCATTGCCTCTGCCCCCATCATTTCCTGTCTCTTATACACATCTAGATGTGTATAAGAGACAGGAGAGAGAGAGAGAGAGAGAGAGAGAGAGAGAGAGAGAGAGAGAGAACCTTCGTGTGTGAGTGGCGGCCATACCCACCGGTGTTCCGCTGCGTTCCTATATCGTGTCGATTCCCATGTCCTGTGTGGAGTCCAGTGAGATGAATTGTGAGTTCTTGGTGTCTGCAAGCAGCAGTGTGGATTGATTCATGAGATGCTAAAAATTTAGTTCCTCTTTATATTTGAATTTGGCGCAGCGATTTCCTGTTTATAATTTAATGTGCATAGTACTGCATACCATATTCCACCATGTTGAGAGAGGGTAGTGTGTACAGCTTCACGCTTACCGTATGATGTTGGTTGTTGATATGAACAGGGAAAGAGAATTCAGCATCTGGGCAAATCTCCAGGGTAGAATGAACGAGGGTTTCATCCAAATCCAGTACGAGTGAGATAGGAGGAGATCTACGTGTCTGCTTCGGGAGCAGATGCGGACGACACGCTGATACGATATCAGAGAGTTTTGGCAGTCGCTTGATGAACGAGTATGGATTGAAGTCATGAAAACCTCCTTCTTCTTCTTCTTCAGCTCCACCTTGATCGCTGCTGTCATCATCCATACATCCCTCGGCGGCACAACCTGCAACAGGCATGAGTATGTTCCCAGTGCCACCTTCGCTACCCACAGCTGGAGATTGCTCATTCCCAGGGCCATCTTTTCCAGGCACGGCTGCAAATGCCTCTTCCTCCATGGCGTGATGGTCTGTTTCCTTGCCCCCATCCTTCTCACAGGCAGCCAGTTTTGCTTGCCCCTCCTCCATTGCCTCCACCATCGCCGCCGTCCCCATCATTTCCATTGCCTCTGCCCCCATCATTTCCATTGCCTCTGCCGGCGCAGCAGGCCAATCTTTCCCTCCCCTTATCTCGTCGTCATCCGCAATAGTATCCTCCAAGGTCACTTGCAGTGATGCCTGTGCCTCTGCTTTTCCCAACATGCCTTCCCTGCATTCATTTGGGGTGCCTGTTTCACCCACCCTAACCGCTGCCCTTCTCTCCTGATTCATTTGAGGTGCCAGTCTCTCTCCACTCTTCACCAACTCACTGTCATGCAGCACCTCACCCATTAGTTTCTCGGCACCATCGTCATGTACAATCTCGCTGCCGCTCTTCTCTGGCTGTCCTTGTTCATGCCGACCCTTTGCATGTTTCTTGGTCACATCTGTGCCTTCCACAGCACCGCCTTGTTTCTCTACACCAATGGGCGATGCCCCAGTCTCTGCCCCTGACGAATGTTTTGTGACTATCACAGTGCGACAGCAGATGCCGATACCCTTGCCGGTCTCTTTCGGATTAACCTCACCCAGCGTGGATGTGGTAGACGCATCATCACGCTGCCCTTCGCCCTCCACCTCCTGTCTCTGGACTGCACATCAGGCCAAAGCCAACAGGTCTAGTTTCAGCCGATGGACGCATGCATGAATATTCATTATATTCTCCTCTCCACCTTCAATAATGCAGAGAACAGCAGGACCTGCTATACAAAAAAAAAAAAAAAAAAAAAAAAGAAGCAGAGAACACAGCCCACTGCAGACTCGGCGCAGAGCATGGGTCCGTTCACAACTTCACACAAGTATCCAAGCACTCCATGAAAGGCACAAAAGACAATAAAAATAAAAACTTGAAAAAATAAAATTCGATACGCTTGCCAGTCTTTTCCTTTTGGGTATCTGTCAAGAACAGGAAAAAAAAAAAAAAAAAAAAAACGCTGGATAGCCATACCTCATCTGTTTCTCATCACAAAGCATCCTGAACGAGATGACAACAAACAGGCAAGGTTAAAAGTTCTGAAAAGAGGAGCAGGAATGAACGCAAAGCAGTCGACACAGAACAGTGTGTGCGTCATCCAGACATGCAACTGCTTATGCGTGAATGAACGAAATGGAGATAGCTTACAATCCTCACCTGTCGAGGCCATGCTAGACGTCATCGTGCCGCCACCAAACACTTTGAAAACTGGAGAGAAGATGGTCTCCAGAAATTCCACACTACGAGATTGAGGGATCGACGTGCCTGCAGAAGCCTGCGCAACGTCATCGATATTCTGTGTCTGGACGATGGCGGACATCGACTTTCCGTCCTCCTGCGGCTGCGGTGTGCTTTCGTTGCAAAAATTGCGATCTGGCGATACGACCATTTCCTGTCCGTTGATCTCCTGTTTCCATCAAAGATCCAACAGATAGGATGAAGTTCCAATAAAGCCATTTTTTTTTTTTTTAAAAAAAAAAAAAAAAAAAAAAAAAAAAAAAAAAAAAAAAGCGAAAAGGACAGAGCCATCATGCATCAATAGTTCAGCAAGCCACAAAGGGTCAGAAAAAGTACAAGCAATCTGAATCTGCTCAACATTCACAGATGACAGCGAATTTTTTTTTTTTTTTTTTTTTTTTTTTTTAATGCCCTAGTACCTTTGGTGTGTGGGAAAATAGGGAAAAGTGGACGTCTTCCCAAACTCCTAAAGTTTCGGAGGCCGGGGCCGACTACAGCTGCCATTGATAAATCTGATCGGCGGCCGTCGTTTCGTTTCGGCCTCCGAAAAGGTCGGAGGCCCACCGGAGGCCAGCTATTTTCCCACGCGCCAAAGGTACCAGTGGTTTAACAGGTCCTTATGGCCCTGGCTCCATGTCCATTCTGTGGAGCATCAGTCCGGTTCCTATTCCCCCGGCAAGTCATATGAACAGGATTACATCACTGTACCCACACACGCTCCCTTCCGTCTGGCCGAAGGGACCCTGATCAGCATCGATTGCTCCATAGTTCTGGAGGATTGACTGTCAGCTTGCCTGTCCCTGAAATTCCTCTCCGGCTCCTCTATCGCGGCCTGTCAGGTATGCTATTATTAGTAATTTATTACAAGAAAAACAGGGAACTTAGAACAGTGAGTTGTTATTGGAGAGTCATATATCCCTGTAGTCCTGTTGCCCAGCCAGTAGAGACACTCTTGTTCTTTGGGAAGTCTCTGAGTTATGCCACTCCTTCCATCTGATTTGCAGAGCATGAACGTCGGCTATCTTCCCGTTGACTAACCATACCGTCTTGAACTTGGAGGTCAGTTCCTGTTGCTTCTCCGTGCTCTGCTGAATCTGGAGTTTGACCTTCTACCATTGGCATCGAATATCCGTTTCCATAAGTAGTCTCGTTGCTGCCCAGACCTGCTCCGCCGCTTGAATGCTGGACTTGTCAATGGTTCTGTTGCACCTTTCCTTCCAGATGACCCAGAGAGTCACTTTCCTGATGATTCCAAACCATGTGCGTTTGGGCTTATGGAATTGGGGTGGGATGTTAGTCCATAGGAGAAGTTGAATCGGGTGTTCAGGTAGGGAGGAAGGAAATAAGTGGGTCCCAGAGTGCGGAGGCTCTTGCCCATATGTCAGTAGCAAATTTGCATGTTATCAGGCAATGTGTGAGATCCTCTCGTTCGTTGTCCGCGCACACCAGACATCGTTCTGAGCTGTTCGGGTCGCTGTTCTTCCTTCGGATGTGTAGCCAAACATTCACTGGGAGGGCATTATAGTTGATCAGCCATTGGAGGCTTCGAATTTTGACTGGCCGGATAAACTTGTATTTTCGCCAGGGAATTTCGGGGATTGGCTCCATTCTCTGTCCTAACAATTTGGACCATCGCTCCTTGATTACAGGTTCCGAGTCCTTCGTTTTCAGTAGCATCCTGTAACCCATTTTGACCGTGTATTGCGTTATCTGGATGGGAGTCTTACAGAATCTGTTACTTCCTGAGAGCCAGGCCCATTCTTCTGGGTCGAATTCCAGGTCCTCGATCACTGTGTTCATTTGGAATATTGATTTCGGCCAGATCCCCAACACTCTTATCTTGCGAAGCGTATAAGTGTTGAGGATTGTTTCGTGAGGGTCAACATTGTGGATAGAGAGCGAGTTGGGGTTGGCACGGTTTATGGGGAACGGCATGGAAAATCCTGAGAGGTACTGAGTCCTGGGCATCTGCGGCGAAACTGGAATGCTTTCTTGGGTGCGGATTCCTGAATCAGCACCCCCCATTCTCCTGATTTCCATGAAAACTTCTCTTTTAGTAGTTCTTTCCATCCATCCGGGATGCTGTTCACGACCGTTGTCAGATTTTCGTCCCGATTATGGCAACCTTTTAGCAGATGTCTCAGTTGTTCTTCATCAACCCAATCATTTTTCTCTTCATCCCAGATGTGCCCTACTTTCCAAACTCCATGTTTGACCCACGAAAGCCAGCGTTGGCCCTTTGCTAGCGACAGAGGAAGATCCCCTGCATTCGTCACATATTGATTCCCGAAGAGTGGCTGACGAAGTACTTCTTCTTTGGATTTGGGCTTCTTTACTTTGTTTGGCTGAATTCCTCTCCAGATTAAGAGAAGGGCTGTCCAGTAGGGTGTTGACGGTTGGACTTCATTCTGTTGTGAGTGAGGTTGTCGTCTCCTCCTGCCAGTATTCATTACCCAGAACAAGCCTGACATGTTGGCAGGAGTTTGAACCGGAGCTAAGGCTCTGATGCTGTCTAGGGCTAGTTTATGCCACGCCAGTCTTGGTTGGGTTAGTAATTTGACTATCCATTTTATTTGTAGGGTTTTTGTTTCTTGTTTGGGGTCGATTATCCCCAACTCACCTTCTTCCGGGATATGTAGTGCCACACTATTTTTGGGATATATCTCGTTTTGTTGGGATCACCTGCCCATAGATAGGCTCTTGCTTTGCTATTTAGTTCTTTGATATTATGGTCCGGTATGGTCCAGATGGCGGCTATGTACCACATCATAGAGAAGATAGAAGTGTTGAGTGTCAAGGCTCTCCCCAGCAGAGAGGTGAACGTATCTCCCCAACGCCCCATCCTGTTGATTTGCTTGGTTAGCAGGTTTTGTGCCATTTCTGGGGCTGGGCCATCTTTGGTAACCATTATTCCCAGATATCTCGTGGGTTCCTCAGGTTGTTCCCATGTCATGTCCGCTTCAAGGCCCTGGGGTCTTTCCTCTTCTGAAAGCCACCACCCAACTGTCTTTTTCCAGTTGATCTTCATTTCTCATGCTAGCCTGAATGCTTCCATTGCCCTCACTAAGGCTTTCACTGACGAATCAGATGCCCTGATCAGGACAGTGCGGTCATCTGCAAACATTATTACTGTTGGAAAGTGGATATGGTGAGGGGTGCCCGCATTCAACTCTGGCAATCGTTGAATTGATGGATCTTTACGCAGGAAGGACGCTATTGCTTCCATAACGAACAGGAAAATCGGGGGAGCCAGGGGGTCACCTTACCTCACTGAACAGGAGATTGGGTATCGTTCAGAAAGTAAGCCATTTATTTGTACACAACCTGATGCATCGTTGTACAGGATCCTTACCCATTCCCTAAAATTAGGACCAACTCCCATTTTTTTCATGCTCTCGTTGAGGAAAGCCCAGTTGACTTGGTCATACGCCTTCTCAAAGTCAAAGAACATAATTGTTGTGTTCAACCTTTTTTTCCTTTACTTTTCGTGCTGCTTCATTCAGAGTGAGGACATTGTCCAGGATGTATCTGCCTGGGATAAAGCCGGCTTGGTCTATATGGAAGCATTTGTCTGTTAGATCAAGGATTCCGAATGCAAGTGCTTTTGCTAGGATCTTGTAGATGAGGATGAGGAGGGAGATTGGTCTGTAGTTTCTGATATATTCCCGGTCACCTTTTTTGTAAAGGAGGGTCACCACGCTCCTACTTAGTAGTTCTCCCAAGCCTCCCTTTTCCCTACTTAGAGGTCCTTTCCCATTACTGGCCACAATTGATCCCAAAACTCTTTGGTAAGACCGTCTAAGCCTGGGGATGTTCATACTTTGGACTGCGACCCTTATTCCTCTAGAGCATACATGCGGCGCATCGGCATGCGCTGCAGCGCGCAAATGCGCCGCACCACGCAGCGCGCATGATGCGCGCGCATGCCATGCGGCGCACAGGCAAATCGAGGGGTCCCAAARAAAAAACGAAAGTTGGGGGGGGGGGGTGTATGCCCGGTAGGGACTTCGTGCTGCCGGCTAAAAAAAAAAAGGAATTTTTTTTTTAGGCACTAATGGTTAATAGGTGGTGTCATTTTCGGCGAATTTATCACTGAAACTGCCATATTTCTCTGAATTTTTGATTTTTTTCTTGTTCCTTTTCTTGTGTGATATCTATATGCTTTGTGGTGATGTGGCGATAAACCCCGAATTTTGGGCCTTCCATTAACCATCTCTCTTTTGAGGCCGCGTATGCCCCCGCAAAAAAAAAAAAGAGCGGGGAGATCCAAGCAGTTCATTTTTTGAACTGCTCGAACCTGCCCCATGTCGGCCCCCAGCCCAGCAGTCGACCTTGGTGCCCCGACGCCACGCAGTCCTTCACGGCCGCCGTGTCTCGTCGTCTCCGTCGTCGTCGTCTCGTACGCCTTGTCTCGTGTTCATTGCAACAGGAAGAAGCTCCCCACTTCATCGTTCAACCAAATCCCGTGCAGCTGCGAACAGCAGCACGAAGGAGCCAAGGGTCGCAGCACTGGGAGGAAGCGAAGGAAGCAGCGGCCATATCCAGGTGGGTTACCACCAGCCCCTCTCTCTCTCTCTCTCTCTCTCTTCTCTCTCTCTCTCTCTCTCTCTCTCTCTCTCTCTCTCTCTCTCTCTGTGGAAACTGTGCAGCTCCTCCTCCTCCCCGTTTCTCCCTTGCCATCGTTCTTCTCCACCTCCCCCCTCCTCCCTCCTTCGTCAAGTTCTCTTCCTCCCTCCTCCCTTGTCATCGATCTCCTCCATCCGCCGTTGTCCTCCCCTTCCCTCCATCATCGGTATCGTCCTCCCTCCGCCCTTCTCCCTTCCCCCTCCTCCCTCGCTATCGATCTACTCCTCCCTCCTCCATTCCCTCCCGCATCATCGATCTCCTCCTCCCCGTTGGTGTCCTCCCTTCCCTCCATCACCGGCGTCGTACTCCCTCCGCCCTTCTCCCTTCCCGCTCCTCCCTCGCTATTGAACTCCTCCTCCATCCTTCATTCCCTCCCTCGTCAACGATCTCCTCCTCCCTC